AAGCCCAGACTGTTCCCTGCTTTCCCCTCCTCTGATGTGAGAGGCTTCAAAACTTCCCCAATATTTGGGCTGTGGTTTTACCACATACACCTCCAAGACTCTCATCTTCCTCTTAAGCATTTAAGGTGAAAGAGCTTTAACATCCTCGTACCTCCTCATCTAGCAGTAAAAACCTTAAATTTACAAAGAAATGGTGTCACTGCTACAGTGCAAAATCAGAAACAAAATCAGAAAGAAAATTCAAAAACATCTGGATAGAGACAAAGCTGGACAGTGTTTGTAGCTGCTAAGCAAGATTCTGCTTGGATTTTTATCTGAAAGTACAGTCATGGGTTAAAATTCACTGCAGCTGGGAGATGAGAGTAACTGAGTCAAACTAAGGTTCTTATCCTTTCACACTCACATGGCCAATTATACAAAATGTTTTTATCTCTCCCCTGCAAATGGAGGCAGCATATATCCAAAACCAATACTTTTAAAAGTGTCATGGACTATTCTCTTTCCTATTTTTTTAAATTTTCCTCTTTTTAGTTGGGAATCTGACAATGCACATGTTTAGCATTTTGCAGTGCTCCCAAACAGTATTCATATTCTTTAACCAAAGCCAGACAAAATGACCACAAGACATCACAGGCCCAGTCATTAAGGGAAAAGAAGGTTGTCTTCACTACCTTCTGGGAACATGGAGGTTTTCATGTGAACAAGAGAGCAGCATGGAGAAGTCAAGCTTGCTCTGCCATTACATGACACAAGACTATCTCATGAAGATAGAAGCACAATGACAAAGCAGGTGGGACTTTTCATAAATGGGAAATAATATGCTCTACATTTGGCCAGTGTCTGAACTCCAGGACTGACAGACTTAAAGCCAAATTCCCCTGGACAAAGAGAGATAGTTCTAGCTTCTGTTCTCCTCCAGCCAGCACCAGCAGCAGCAAATTCCCTAGCTTGTTTCACCAAACCTGGCCACACAGGTACTTCACTCACTGACCAGGGGTGAAATGACATGGCTAACCTTCAAGTGTAACCAAGTTTCATGCTTTTTTATCTACTTGGGACAAACAAAATCCATCAGAAGATTATAAAGTGCAAATGCAAATGCTACATCATCAAGCCACAAGTCTGAAGCTGCTAAGGCTCTTCATATACTACCCTATTAAGGTGTGATCTTTGACTAAGATGTTCTACTTCTGTTCCTTCTGCAGGTGCACAGTGACAGCTGGGGCTGAATTTCCTTGTCATCTCATGTATTACTGGCCAGGCATATGACAAATGACACTTCATGTGACATTTTTGTATGGAATCACACAACTGTACACACATGCGCATAACAGGCTGCTCCCACTGGAAAGACACCACTCCTAGGATGATGTGTTGTGGCTGGTTTTGAGAAAACAAGTGGATACCCTCACAGGCCCTTGAAACTCCACAGTCCGTGCACAACCTCTCTGGGGTCCTTGGGCACACTCAGAGGATACTCTCACACTACCACACTTCATCCACTGTCTGAAACAGCATGTGTTTCTATCTGAGAAGCTTTCAAAAATAAATTATATTAAAATAATAATGCTTCTAAGATTTTCCTTTTTTAAAAAAAGTAATTTGTCATTTGGAGTATTTTGTTTACCTCAAATGCCTGTGGGACCAGTATTGCTATTAACTTATCACTTAAATGAGGTCCTTTCTTTCAGGAAAAACTTACAGAAGAAACTGAAATAGGGACTCTTTCAAAGATGGATGCACATACATATTGAAAAGACAGTAAGTAAATAAATATTTATTAGCCAGTCTCCTCCCCAAGACCTTGCAACAGGAGTTGCTCGACAGTTAGCAGAGAAGTGGACAAGTCATTTCACTGGCCAAGTGCCTATGAAAGAGGAATAATAGAGCATTATGCTACATGTGCTCAGGACAGAAAGACTCTTGGTGAAGCAGAAGAATAAAAGATAAGACAGAGTCTGGAAGGAAGCCAGTGTAATACAGCAAGGAAAAAAAGGTGAAGAGCAGGGAAGAAAAGATAAAGTCAGCCCCTTGCCTTCAGATAAATCAGCTGTATCTGATTTTTATCCTCCAGAAGTGACATCAGGTGGAAGGCTCTTACTAGCCTCTACAGACCCCCAGCTTGCATTTGGGAGCCCAGGACCCCTGCAGTTTTTGCCTCTGGCCAAACCATGGTCCTCTTGCACTCTTCTGGGATGAGTAAAGAATTCAGCATCCAGAGCTCTTGATGCTAATACCCTACTAAAAGGCAAATATTACATCTACCTTTAGTATGCTATTATTTCAGGATGTCTAAATACGGAGGTATCAATTACAAGTCTCATACCATCAAGCTCCTTAGTGCAAACACAAGTATAGAAATTTCAGCACACATAATTAGCAGGACCTCCAGAAATGACTAATTAAAAGGTACTGGAATCCAACCAGAATCACCACAAGAAGCATTATTTTGTCTGATTACCATCACCTACCATAACTTTGCATCCCAAAGCACACAAAAAGCCAAAAACTTTAAGTAAAAAGAATAAATTAAAAATAATTCACTGCCAATGTGAATTGTTTAATTGTAATACTGAAAGACTATTTTGAGTGCTACAAGGTATTGCTAGAATCTCAAGAAATATAATTTACAGAAATATAATTTACTTAGAGAAATCTACATTGCATGCCATAACAACAACCAGCTCTACCCTCTCTATAGATTTTAACATCTTACTCCCCCATTACTTTAGGAAATACTGAAAATAATTTTTTCTCCATTCTGTAATACTGCAACTTGACAGCAAACATACCACACAGTGCTGCCTTTTGAAACTCTGAAGATGGATTTATGTTCACCAGACTTAAAACAACCTTTTTAATGACCACAAATCAGATAGTCTCGTAGTGGAGAGCTTTGACTGCCTTTGTGTCAGATCTCATTCTCATGTTGCAGCAGGTACTTAAAGAGTGAGAATCATTTTTTTCCAAAGGATTTTTGATGTCCAACTCCCTTTGAAGCCTCCCTTCCTATGTATCTTTGAAAATCTGATCTTCAATTTGTTATCCATTTTCCCTTCCCGCTTGATATGACAATGCCTTCCCTCCTTCCTTCTTGAACGCTCAAATAAAAGGGCAGTAGCAGGTCTGTAGTGCTTAAATGAGTGAAGAGAAGTTGCTCAGAAAATAACAGCTCCTTCTCTCAATCCTCATCTATTCTTTTCCATTTCAGTTGCATAAAACATCATCATGATGGGCCACAGGCTTCTGTTTCTCACTCTATGCCATCCATCAGATTTGATTTACATTCTTAAGATAAAAGTAAAGATCACCGTAGGCAGAAACTGCATGCAGTTGTCTGCCATGGAAAACAGATTTCCTACTCCTTTCAAGTTTACTGATTACTCACGGCCTTTCCCCTCTAAAGGGTATCCACCAAAGTGGGCACTGTGTTGGAATAGCCACCAGCTGTCTGATAAAACTTAATGAATGGCAATTTTATGAGCTTCTGTTGTTATTGTTCCTTTAACTCCTTCAGTATTAACCCACCATGGCAATTCACTGGCAAAGGAAGATTAGAGATAAAGCAAAACTATGAAGATTTTGATCCCTATTCCAGTAATTTGCTTTAAGAAATTTTCTTAGGCAAGTTATACAAGGCCATAATTTTGATGGTGTCCAGTACCTGCTCTTTTCTACAATAGAGGGTATGTTGTGGAAATATACTTAAAGAGGACAGGAAAACCTCAAATACTGCAGTATTTATATAGTCAGCATCACCTTGGCATACTAGGCCTGATTTTTCTGAGTGCCTTTAGCCAGACATTTTAGTCCTCTGCATTTGATCCTGGGAAACTTCTGTCTGGTCAAGATCTATAATTTCCTTGTTACTTCCCCATCACTGAAGACCATGCTGCCTGGCCAAGAGAAGAATTTTGCTCTCTCAAAGTGAATTTAAGCACACAAAGAGTTATATATCAGCTGCATGTAGAGATTAAATTCAGACTTAATCACACAACTAAATCCTCATTCAGTGCTTTGAAAACTTACAGCTAAGTGTGAAGCTAAAAATATTAGCTAACAAAGTGAGCTATCTTCCAACCACATCCTCTTCCAGAAAAACATCAATAGAAGACAAGTCTGAAAATGTGCCTTAGAGGAATTAATGAACATTTGTTTGAAACGCAGCCATTTCACTTTGGGACAGGTTTTTTTTTCCCTTCTTCTTTCTTCTTCCCCTCCCCTCATCTAGTGAGCATATCCTGTGCTTCAGGGTACGGAACCCTGTCAAAATCACACCCATAGTCAAATCAAATTTAGCATATCTTTACAAGATATTTATAACATGCAAATACCTAGAGGCCCTTCTTCTCAGTCACATGAAGATCTCTTATGCTAGGGAATGAGGGCTCTTTCACATTAGTGAGAATCTGTGCATGGTAGAAGCTGATTTCACATATTATATTTGACATGTGAAGATTCAGCAACCCACATCTCCACTCCATGTGCAACAATCAAGCAAACCACACTGCAGCATCTAGAAAGAGTTATTCAGTGAGCCCTTATAACCACATCCTTACAATCAGCCACTTCTGGCTCAGCAGGATTCTGCTTTAAGAACCCCAGAAAAAATAATTTTACTTCAACCTTCATTAAAAAAAAATAGGAAACTTTTGCTTCATTCACTCCACTCCTTCTTAAGTCTTTCAAGCAGCTCAAGGAGCCTAACAAAACATTTTCTCAAGATAAAACAGATAAGCAGTAAAAATTCCACCTTCAGATTCTTAGGGATCTGCTTCACTTACAAATTTTGTCTCTTGGCACACATCTCATTCAGAAATAAATTATTCTAGTTTCTTTGAAAAACTTTTCCTTCTTTGTCACTTAAGAGCAATCAGAGACAGGAATTTTCAAATTAGAGAGCTCAGAGCAGAACCGCCAAGCACAAGCTGTCTCTCAGGACACTTTTGGAACAACATCCAAAATCGCATGCTGAGTGCCCACGCCTGCAGCACCCAAACCTGCAGGGCTCTGTGTGCTAGGGCTGAGCAGCCAGTCTGCAGTGCTGAGGAGGGTCATGTCACCTGAGGGAAAAGGGCAAACAAAAGAAAACTGTTTGGCTTCATCTCAGGAGGCAAACATCTATTGCAAGTTAGAGCTTTCTGGGTAGAATTCACTCCAAATTCTTTTAAACTGGAAAGTTGTAGTGTCAGACAAATAAGTTACCATGGTTTAATTCACTTCCTTCAATAAACTCTGATACCTACCTAGAAGTTGAGATATTATTTCAAAAATCATTTTCTACCTGAAGTCAGTGCATTAACAGATACAACACATACCTCATTTCCTGACAAAGTAATATTAAGCATTTCTCAGAGTGGATGCACACGGCACTACATGTTGAACAAAAAGTCAAGTCAGATGATGAACATCTTTCAATGTTTCAAGAAACACCCCCAAGTTGTTTTTTTTGCTACAAAAGAACCTTCAAGTTATATAGAAGGTATAAAAGCTCATGAAGTTTACAACAAAGGCTTCTGTGAGCTAAAGGAATTTTAATTTGAAAGGGCAATTTTATCCTGTACCAAAAGTGGTATATACCTGGTAATATGATATAAAAATATAATAACATATTTGTATATTTTAAAGGAAGAAGATTAATTTATGGACATAAAATATTTTCCTGCCTAAACTCCATGAGCACAGTAAATCTTTATTTATCCTTTAAAAAGGGTTTGGTTTTTTATGGCTTAATATTTGATTGAAGCAATACTTATACAGCAATAGCAAAAAGTAAATTACACACAAGTCTGGCACAAGTCCCTGTTAATCTGATAACCCATTAACTGTCCCCACTACCAAGGACTCCAATTACAATGAATAACAAAGATATGTGGTGAATTGGGGGTGGGGGGGGACAACATCTGCTTGATTGACATGTGCCTTTCCTGGAAAAATGCATGTCCATAATCCTAAAGAGTTTGACAGCACTACTACAACCGAGTTCTTAGGGGAAAAAAAATCGTATCTTTGCTACAACAGTTGTAGTAGTTCACCTATACAGTTATACTGAAGAGCAATACTGAATCTGCATGACTCTGTCTTCCAGTAATGCATTAAGTCTCTGTTCACACAGGCAGTTAAATGTCCCATATGATCTTTCCACTATTGCCATAGAAATGCTTCAGGAAAGAGCATTTTTTGCTGCTCATTGCATAAACCCTTCTGTGTTTCATTATATGTGTTATTATATGTATTATAGATGTATTATATTACTGGCAAAGCTGTTAGGTTGTTCTGCTGTTAGTATTCTACTGAGAACAAACATAACTTATCAACTGCCTGACTGCTTCTTGAGAAATAGGTATCAGTTTACCCCATTGAATTACTACACCTGTTTGAATTTTGGTCACTCCATCAGAGCAGCAAGCTAGCCTGAGGAACTTTCAACACTCAGTTTTATTAGCCTACTTGACAAAATTCTCATAGCCTTAGGAGCTTATGAAAAGTGAGACATAAAGAAATACCAAAATAACAAGAAAGACTGAAAAATTACATTTTGTACTATGGCAATTGTAAACACCTACTTCTTTTCTCTCATCATTAAACTTCCTTTTCAGTTTTTTGACTTTTTGACTTTTTTTTTAATTTAAGCTCTGCACATACTACCTGCTCAGTCCACTCAGACCCTATGAAAGAAACATAAACCTGTAATGAAAGCTATTGCTGAAACTTGATAATAGTAACTACTAATAAACATTGAACATTGCCTTTATGTAACATATGAATAAACACAGAACATCTAAAATGGTAAAACATTATATAGCGTGCTGACTGTGAGAACACCAAAGATAAAAAGGAGAAAAAAAACCAAATTATGAAATACTGGGAAAAAAAAAAGTCTGGCTCACCTTCTGTGCCATTGGGTGTCATGGAATTATTATTTATATGGGAGTTATCAAGTTTTGGACCACTGGGGGATTCACTACTACCACTTAGTCGTCTGTGTGGGCTGGCTAGATCCTGCATTTCCATAGACCTGAAAACAAGATGCAACTTGTTTTAGTGACATAAGTCAACATGAATTACAGAGGAACTGCCTTTATGAGATGCAGCCTGCTATTTATCAACATCCCAGAAACACTTAGTAAAAAATTAACTACTTTTCCCAACTTGATCTTTTCCAGTGCTTAACTCATGTTGTAGCCCCAAACGTGAGTGGAAAGCTACTTTAATTATTTTTGCAGCTTGTAACTAAATAAAACCTAGATTCCAAGCACTGCACTTTAAAAATTGATGCATTCTCGTATTTTTAAAATACGTACAAAGATGGAATCCCCAACATATAGAGATATATATTCTCTTGAAAACAAATTAACACTGCTTTTTCAAGATTTACCACTTAGTGGCAATATAATGGGCCTCCAAAACAAATAAAACACTTGAAGCAATTGTGGAAACCTATCATCTACTGACAGGGAATGAGATATTCCTGATGTATGTGTTTACTCTGGCAAACTACTTAATTGTTCCTCTGTTTCCTTTGAAACAAATGCAGCATTAAAACATTATTATGTCTGCTCACTTGTTTGCTTTGTGGATTACATAAAGCGTGCCCAACTGGGAAGGGATCTGCCCGACATGCAGTGAGTCCATGCAGGCGCTGGTGTGCCTGAGCACTCTGCTGTACCTCAGCAGCTGTCGCTCACTCAAAATGAGGAAAGAGCAATTCCCAGCTAAAGCAAAAATTAAACGTTTAAACAGCATTAAAGCAGCTAAATATTTCATATTTGTGCTTTCAATGGCCCTATATTAACAGGACAACAGTCATCACCACCATGACATATCCCTTGATTGGTGGTGGGGCTTATCACTGAAGTTCCCTACTCTTCTGTGCCTTTATACCTAAAACTTTTGATATTGTTATTTGACGTACTCATTCAAAGTAATTGCTCCCAGCAGAAACTTCATAGGTTACTGTGCCTCCAAGGCATTTAAGCTAGTAATTTTTCAGTTTAAAAGTAATGCTTAGGCTCTTTTAAAGACTATTAAAATTATATATAAAATTAATCCTGCAGTAATGGTATAAATATTCTAAGTGTCATTTCAGGTACGAAGCTTTTGTATTTTAACTGAAGTTTTATCACAGATTCTAAACATAGATTCTTCATTTAATATTTCTTTACGTAAAACAATCTACACAAAAAGAAGAAGATTATACTGCTATGAGTTCAAAATGCCTGCATCAAATATAAACTCAAACAATTTAGTGGAAAAGTTACGTGCTCATGGTTTACAGACTTGGTTGCACACACGTAAAACCTACGCTCCAACACTTACTCATCTGCTTAATGTGAGAAACAAGAATAAATACTTTACTTATCACTTGAAGTTTAAAAAAATAACCAACAATAGAAGGCTTGTAAAAAAATTAGCAATTTTCAAACAAATCCTTACCTGCAGCTTGAGGAAACAGCAACATCTGAACTGGTTTGGGACTTCTGCACCTGTAAACCAGGGAAACAAACAGAAGCTTCTATTACTCCACTTTACTACGAGGCCTTAATTTAAAGAAAGGATATCACTACGGATGACAATTCTGCCCTTTAAATCCAAAGGGAGAGGAGGAGGGTGCGGTGCCCCTGAAAGGCATATTGTCTTTAAATTGAAGGCTCAACTGTTGTTTCCCCGGCAGGTCGCTCTCCCTCCTCCCCGCGCCAGGGGACGGCAGCCAAGTGACGGGATAGTGATTCATCAGGGGCCCGTGACAGCTGCACAGGGGCTCAGCCCTCCTCCTCCGGCTCGGCTCGGCTCGGCTCGGCTCGGCCCGCACCCGCAAAGGTAACCCCGCCAAGGGCAGCAAGCTGCTCCTGCCCCGAGCCCCGCACCATCCTCCGCTCCTCTCATCCCTCCTTCCGTCCTGACCGACTCTTGCCCTCATCACACCGGTTTTCTTCTTCCTTTGCTCCTCGCCATCCTTCCTCTGTGCCACAGGGAACCCACCAGTCAAGCTCACCCCAAAGGCGAGCTGGAGATGCTGATGGTATTTTTGGGGGAGGAGGGGTAGAGAATAACAACGGGCAAGTCTACCTATGGTAAAGACCTCCACTATATAGCACACAGCCTGACAGAATCACCTCTAAAAGAAGCCCATCTCCAGCCAGGTCAAATTAAAATAAAAACTCCACAAGCTATTGCATAGTCTTACTCCTAAAAATTCCAGTTGGTAATGAGATTTCTGGTAAAATTACTTAAAAGGACACTTCTGGCTAAATAAATGGGGGGAAGCGGTAGAATTTACCTCTGAGGTCGCTCATGAAGAAAAGGAATCTTTTTCCACTGGAAAGCCCACCAATAATTTTTAGTGTAATCAAATCATTCCTTTTATAACTCAGGTGAGTAATAGTTTTCATATTCCATCAGAAAAACGCTGTTGCTTTACTAACAAACTTTAGGCAGTAACAATTGTCAGCAGGTGACAAAATTCAGGTGGAAATACGCTCCTAGACACTGTTAGCTTAAAAGCACACGAAAGCTTCCCTGGGCAAGGTATATAACCTCCCAATGCCTGCAGTGAGGATCTTTCTTGTGCGTTTCCATTCAACCTGAACTGACATCTCTTAAATGATCACAGAGCAAAGACAAGGGAGATGAGGCATTTTAAGTGCCATAAAAATCATCCGAGCAAATCCTACTTATGTGTCTGTAGGGTGGGTTTTTTGTTATTTTTAATCACAGACAGAATTACTACTAGCAAGAGTAAACAACTGCTAGGGGCAGTCAGGCAAGGAAGAACATTACGAATGATGTCAAGAAGCATGCAATAATGCATGCTGAAGAACATCAATCTTTTTATAACTGGGCACTTAAAGTACTGCATAACACGCTTTTCAATACATTGCTGCATGCCAAATCAAACTAGACTTGCAGATAGAGTCAAAACTCTGCATTTTGGTTTAAGGAATTTTTTTCCCCCCTTAGTTCTTTACCCCAGAAACTGCTGCAGAGTGCCTTAGGATATGCTTCTGCTGTTACTTCTAAACACCTGGAAAAAATTATAGGTGAGAACTAAGTTTGCCTACAGAGCTATCTTCACTCCCTCTTGCACAGAATCTTTTAAAACCCATCTTTTATAATAGAAAAAACTTCATTTTTTAAATAGATGCTTTAAAAAATTGATATTTTCCAACATGCACTACACAATTATTAATGCTTGATTCAAATTTTAAAAAATGTAATCCTCACTATTTTAAGTACCAAATTTTTACAAAAATAGCAACTTCTGTACATTTGAAAATATATACATCATATACATATATACATGTCCATGTATGTGCATAACAAGAAAGATCTCATTAATGTATTTGTGGGACAGGGCAGAAAAAAACCAAGCAGCTCATTCACAGTGAATTAAATATATACCTTAAATGTCCTCCAACACTCCATGATTTGTGAAAGTTCATATCCACAATTTTCATTTTCATTAGACATACTTTAGATATATTCCTTTGTGTCTCAAGGATTATTTAAACCATGTGTTGCACGTTACCAAATTTAAAAATGACTCTTTAATCAAAATAACTTTAAAACAACTAATCCTCACTTAGGCTGGTCAGCTGAATCCACAGAGTGGTCCAGGAAAAATAAATCTACTCTCAAGAATGCGAATGCAGACAACAATTAGACACAGATGTGACTGAAATTAGTTACAGTTTACAAAATGCTACACTTCACATGCTTTCAGTTTTTTATGTGCAGAACAAAATTACAACGTAGTAAGGAACCACACTTATGACGACCAGTTAATTCATAGAATAAAAACATTTCTGGGTGGTGTGTGCTTGTGCTTTCCCTCATATATTCCCATTTTGTCAACAGGTTTCTGGGTAATTGAAGTTTGGCAACATAACTCACATATCAAATAAAAAGTGGGGGGAAATAACCCATGTGCTTGGCCTTATCTGGATAGAAATGGGTCACAAAAAAAAAAAAAAAAAAGGAGCTGTCACACCCCCTTCATACTCAATGTTCTGCTTAAACTAAAAATGCCTTATAGGCTGAATGGCATACACATTCTTCTTAATGCTTCAAAAACATTACTCTGTATAATTTGATTTTTGTCAGTAACATTCACATCTTTCTCCTTAATACAGACTGCAGATTGGGCACTATGTACTACATGGCGAGAAAAAAAGGACAGTGATAGCAAAGCTACTTAAAATTCATCCATTTAAGAATCTTAAATCAGTAACATCAAATTCTGATTAGTTAATGAGGTCTTTTAAGTTTGCCCTTTTTTCTAATTAAATTTATAATTCTTCACAGATGTAGGTTTTGTTGATGTTCAATTTGTCTCTCTCATTTTGTTAAACCTCACATAGTACTCCACCAATCCACTGAATAGCCACATTAAATCTGTTAATACCATGCTCTTCAACCCCAGAAATTATTTCCAGAAGGCAAACTTGCTTTGAGAGATCATCAAACAAGACTTAAGGTACACATTTTATCACATTTTCCCTACCACAGAGCTCAGGATGCAGAGGAAAATTCATGACTTTTGCACTGTTTATTATACTTTGCTAAATTACAAATCAAAAGCATCTGACAGAAGATCATATATGAAGCCAAAAAGTTAATAATGTTCTGTGAAAAATAAACTGTAAATGGGAAGAGATTCTAAATTTCAGCAGCACAGAGCAAATAAAATGTAGGTACTTGTCTAAATTACAGGTTTTCCACAGTATTTTTGCTTGCTAGGAGCAATTTTTTTAAATGGCTATAATTTAAAACATTTTTCCAGCTGAAAAGAAATTTTCAAAGTGAAAATAAGAATTTAACCCAGAAAACTATAGCCAGCACACACATTTTCTCTTAAAATACAGTTCTTCTTTAAAGAAGCAAATTTCAAAGACAATGGCAGTTTTCAAATGAAGGTGTTCCTTCTTAGGGGAAAAAAAAAATCTGTCATTTTTAGGAAGGGGTGGAGGGAGGGAGGGAAAGGGACTTTTTTCCCAATAGCACTCTTTACCTCCCTAAAAGAGCAAAGCAGTCAGTATCTACCGACATAATGGCTTCAACAGCCAAAATGTTACAAAACTAAAATGCCAATTGGCTGCAGAAAGGCACCTTACTGGCAACCCAGGAAACTTGGTAATGCTTTCACTCTTCCAATAATCATATAATGCTGGGCTCCAAGAGGCTGGGCTTTTTCATTAGATATTCACATCAAAGACAAATTGTACTTATTAAAGTAAAAGCAAGTAATTGCAGTTATTAAATTTTTAATTGCCAATTTAAATTCTTCTGAAGTGCTATCCTGTGTGCTCATTTCATACACTCATGAATGAAACATGTTGAAATCCCAACACTTTCTTCCCGTTAAGAAAGAAATACTACAATGTGACAATGCTTCTATTATGACCAGCCATTTAAGAATGTCTTTCTGCTTTTCCAAGATTTTTTTTGGCTCCTGAGAAATATTTCATACTTATTGCAATTCAAACAAAATGATTACTCATTCTTTTTTTCTCCTAAGGTGAAGCATGACTCAAGCCGTCTGTCACTGTGCAGAACTGCTGAGAGGGGATGGCTGCTCATTTCCAGACCCTTCCAGGCCTTGGGAAAACTCTGACAGCAGCGAGGTGCATGGCTAAAAACTGCATGTCATAGGTTTGTCAGCAACATGAAAACACTGTGTGCATATGTGTTTATACACCTGAAATTCTGTAATGTGTTTACACATGTATACCAATGTACTTTTACCAATGCATATCCATATCAATACTATTCATTTATTTGACACCCCAAAACAGTAGTCTGCGTTCTGGCAGATGCTTTGCAAACCATCTCAGTATGGGTTGGAAAATAAAATAATCTTTATACATGGCATCTAATGTTAAAAAACTTCCAATGATACACTACACCACATTTCCACTTCTTATTCCAAATTCCCCCCGCTGCTCATTTTTAAATTTAAACAAACTACACGAAATTATTACATCATTATTTCCCCGGAAAGCTTTTATCTCTTTCGCTTACCTCAGTTTTGAATGTTTGCTTACAGAAGAAAGAAAACCACACCAAACCCCAACCACCTTCAAAGAAGCGTTTTTAAGTGCACTAACACCTTATTTTTCCAGAATCAATCTTGCACTGTAAAGAACAGTCCTTCCTCTTGGTGTTTGAAACACCAAGAGAATGTTTGGTGGGTCTTGGTTGCTCAAAAGGAAGATGTAAATTTAACAAGACTTCAGAATGTCTTTAACTTCTTTTTCTAAGATCACCGTTCTGAATAAGCCACCTAAAATGTCAATAAACGTCAGATATTTCAGTTGTGTAGATGTTCATTCTGTCATCTTGAAAAGTTCTCCTGTGGGGACCTGCATGTTTTCCTTGGTGTTTGGAAACTTTAAACATATTAAGCGAAAGGATTTCCTGCTTCAGAAAGCACTGTCAAAATCTCTGTCAGGCATTCTTCCTCCCAATTTTCTTTATTATTTTTCTC